GGGGGGGGAGGGTAGTGCAGTGCCCCTCCCTCCCTGCAATGACAGGGGGACACAATACCAGCAGGCAAGGGCTGGGGCACGATGGCCCTGTACCCTCACCGCACCACCACGAGCAAGGCAGGAGGTGAGGGGACATCCAGGACGGACAGACCTTCGGTGTGCACCAAATACCGCTGGCCTAATCCAAGGGGACCAGAGAAGGGCCACAGAGTAGGAGACTGGCAACAGAGAGTGGAGGCCAAAAGCGTGGGAGGCCGTCCAAAGAGGATGGTGGCCCTGCAGTGGGGGCGCAGGGTTTTTCATGGTGTACCCCACATGATGGCAGTGACACTGCCTGGGTTAGTTGGGTGTCCCCAGCCCGAGCGGTGCCATGTTGTGCTGCACCTGCTCTCTGTGGAACTACAGTAGGAATCTGGGGGGGGGGGAAGAACTGATTCCCGAGGTTATACTTCAGCCCAAGCAGTACAGGAGGGGTTCCTGTTGCAGAACATCCACCTGGTGGCCCGGTGGCTGGGCACGCTGGAGAAGATGGTGGAGCAGTACAGCCTGGGTAGCCACACCGACTACCGGGTGTTCATGAGTGCCGAGCCAGCCCCCAGCCCCGAGGCACACATCATCCCGCAGGGACTGCTGGAAAATGCCATCAAAATCACCAGTGAGCCGCCGACGGGCATGTATGCCAACCTGCACAAAGCCCTCGACCTCTTCACCCAGGTACCCTCGCCCCACCGCGGTTGCGCTGTGCACAGCCGGTTCCTTTCAACCGGTTTTGGGTCAGCGTGTCCAGCTCACCCCATCCCTGGGGTTTCACAGGCTGAGCATCTTCAGGGGTGTCACTGCAAACACGGATGCTGTGCCAGAAGCCAGCCCACCCCCAGGCATGTCCTCCTGGGGGTGCCCAGAGCCCCCATTTGTCGGGATGAGATTTAGGGGTAACCAGAGCTGCCCGAGGGTTCCCGAACCAGGGAGGCTGCTGTATTACTGGTGCCTTTCCCAAGGCTGAATGTCGAGCTGCTGCAGCTTAGTGCCACAAACAAGCCGCCCCGACTGTCAGCGGGGTGTACCTGTGTGTGTGGATTCCTAATCTTTTTATAAAAAAAAAGAATGCAAAAATTTACCAACTAGCATATCTTTAAAAGATAATTTTATGCCTTTTTTTTTTTAATAAACATCCTTCAGTTCTCCTTTGCCATCATCTTAATTTTCTTAAATAGATGGATGGCCGATTGCGATATTCACTCATTCACTTGCAAACCCACTCTCATTTTTATTCCACTGCAGGACACGTTAGAGATGTGCAGCAAGGAAATTGAGTTCAAATGCGTCTTGTTTGCGCTCTGTTACTTCCACGCGGTGGTGGCCGAGCGGCGCAAGTTTGGCGCTCAGGGCTGGAACAGACCTTACCCCTTCAACAACGGTGACCTGACCATATCGATTAACGTCCTGTACAACTACTTAGAGGCTAACCCCAAGGTAAGGGACTTACAAAGTGATCATATCTCAGCACAATACACACTATGACAATCAACCTTTTTTAAAAAAAATTCACCCGTTTGCTGCACAAATGCCTTCTCTCGAGGAAACACAGCGTTGCCAGTAGTTCTTCCCCTCCTCCCCAGGGAGCTGCCTGCACACTCTGGCAGGTGAAGGTGCAGAGTCTTCAGCACGGCTGAGCTGGGTGGAAAGCGGGCGTTTAGCACCGGGCTGGGACGAGTGCCTGCTCTGGCTCACGCCTCGCTGCTTTGTTGGGTTGTTTTTTTGTAAATTACTTTCCACCTAAAAGGCAAAGCCTGCCCCCGCGACCGAAGGTGCAATGAGCGGGATTGAGGTCTCACCCTTCGGAGAGTCCTGCTTTCACCTGGCCTTACACACGTGATCGACGTTGATCTGAATAAAGACGGGATGACAGGGGTTCAAAGTATGATTGGCTGTGTCCATACCGGGACAGGAGAAATCTGTGGGCGAACACAAGAGACACCCAAGACAAGGCCCCCTGTCTTGCTCCCCTTCACTCTGTCACCGAGCTTCTGCGGGTCCAGGGTCTGTCACTTCCCTGGACTCTGGACAGGTCAACCCGGGAGCCATTGCTCTGTGACCCCGCAGCTCTACAGGCGCGTGCAGCTTCGCAGGGCTGCAGGGGACTTCTGGGGAGCCACACAGGCTACAGAAACCCCACGGTGAGCCTCTCCTTGTAGGTACCATGGGATGATCTCCGGTACCTCTTTGGTGAAATCATGTACGGGGGGCATATCACAGACGACTGGGACCGCCGGCTGTGTCGGACTTACCTGAGTGAATACGTCCGTGTGGAAATGCTGGAAGGGGAAGTGTACTTAGCTCCAGGGTTTTTGATCCCTCCCAGCTTGGATTACAAGGTAAGAAAGATTATGGTTGCAATTTGCTGTGGAAAACCACTGCTCTGGATAAATGCGCACTAGTCAGACTTCCCTCATGCTAACCAAGGGAAAAAAAAAATTTCAATCCCCTGGAAACACGCAGAATCGCTGCAAAAATAATTCCTGTGGCTGGGGTGGTAAGGGAAAAACTTAGGTAAGACATGAGTAAAAAAACCATCTTGAATAAGCAATGCCAGCTAGCTGTGAAGCACCACCAAAAAGCGATGACGTATTTTCAAGGCTGAAGCGAAACTCAGGCTCCTTTGTACGTATCTGCTAAACTAACGTCAGCGCCTGCCCTGCGCTTAGGGTTACCACGAGTACATCGATGACAACCTGCCCCCGGAGAGCCCCTACTTGTACGGCCTTCACCCCAACGCAGAAATTGGCTTCCTGACTGTCACTTCGGACAGGCTTTTTCGGACAGTTTTGGAAATGCAGCCCAAAGAATCAGACACTGGAGGAGGCTCAGGTGTCTCGCGAGAGGAAAAGGCAAGTCAAGTTTCTGCCTCTTTACAGTAAACAATGACAATTCAGAGGCCAGATGGAGAGGACAGATATGGGCCCACACACAACGGACAGGAGAATATGACCTGTAATAATAACCGATTTCTTACCAGCGCAGGATAGTAGAGAGATGTGATTCTAGCCCAGTACCTACTGCTACAAACTGTCAGCCTGGAGAAGGGGGAGCTGCTAGCGCAGAGCTATCGAGACACGCTGCAGTCTCTGCTCAGCTGGACACTCCTGTCAAGTTTTTAAGTATATTTGCACTTGGTTTCTCTGTGACCAGCCTCTCCTTTCCATGTCAGTAACTTTACCAGTCTTTGGCACCGGTAATGTAATTGAACACGAGCAAACGCTTCACCGCTCCACAGCTGCTGAGAAGGCAGCACTGATACCGCAGCCCAGGGCAGACAAAGTACTGGCCGCGGCTGCCTGTTTGTCCCTGTCCCAGCTGCAGCCCTCTCCCCTCCTCTTGCATCAGCCTAGATCCCAGGCAGGCAGCTAGTCATGCAGATCGTAAGACCGTTAGCTGCCCTCCTCCAGCATCTCCGAGAAACCCAAAGGGTGAAGAAGAAGGGGCTGAAATGCTGCCCCAGCAGTTTCTTTGTGTTCACCCCATCTGAACACGTGGTGCAGTTACAAAAGTCAGCAGTGTTCAGAAAGGTTACTCTTTGATGGTGTCGAGATGCACCAGTGGCAAAACGTGACTCACATGCCACGTCCTCAGCAGATGGAACAGGCTTAGTAATTTCCATTCATGATAGCAACTACTGAAAATACTTTTTTTTTTTTTTTTAAAAAGGGGTGGTGGTGGGGAAGTCTTCCTCCTGACTCCCTGGATTTTACACTTGAATTTCACAGCCTCCGTGGCTTCAGTGCTTACCTTCTTGGCTATCGAAAAAAAGCTGCAGCTTTTTAAGGTCCAAGAGCAGTTAGTAAAAGAATAGAGTATTCAGAACAGAGGAGGAAGCACAGGAAGACACAAAGGCAGAAGAAGAAAAATCTTACTAAGTTAATTAACTGTTAACCCACAGCATTTTTCCTTAGGTAAGAGCAGTTCTATGGCATATTCTTTCCAGGTGAAGTCAGTCCTAGACGAGATTCTTGAGAGGCTGCCGGAGCCATTCAGTATGGTGGAGATCGTAGCGAAAGCAGTGGACAAGACCCCGTATGTCATAGTTGCCTTCCAGGAATGTGAAAGAATGAACATCCTGACCCGTGAAATCAGGCGGTCCTTGAAAGAGTTAGACTTGGGACTAAAGGTATGCACTAGGTAGCTGCCTAGAAAGCGCCTCTCCCTGCCAAATAATTTCCCATGGTTTGCAAATGGCTGTTGGTCGTTTCGAACCTTGTCTTGTGCAAAGCGCTTGGCTACCCTTGCTCGCGCTCTTACACATCCCACTGTGCTGGGTACGGGCAGACGGTACCAGCCTCCTGCTTCGTGATGAGTTCGAGACCAAATACTTCCATCAGTCTTGCTTTCTTCAGGTAAAACTGCCCAGACTTTTTCTCTTTTTTAAAAGGGAGAGCTAACGATTACATCGGATATGGAAGAGCTGGCAAACGCTCTCTTCTATGACAACGTTCCTGAATCCTGGACACGTTACGCCTATCCCTCTCTTCTTAGCTTAGGAGCCTGGTATGCAGACCTGCTCCTTCGGATTAGGGTGAGCAGATTTCTTGTGAAAGTTAAAGCTTAGGGAGCAAGCAGACACCACAGAAGACCAGGAATCATCTCCATCAGCGTACAGTGGTTAACTGGTTTATTTTTCAATATTAATTTAAGCAGTTTGAAGTACCTGAAATGGCCTGTTACCCCAAGAATGAGAGCAGAAGTTTGAAAAGGGTTCACCATTAGAGTATATCACTGTTTCAAAAGAACATTCACTAACCCCACCGTAACTTTATATGTCTCCAAAAAAAGAATATTTAATAAAAACATCTATTTAAAGTGTAGCTTTGTTAAAAAAAATAATAGCAGTATTTACTGTAATCCAAATTAACAGTTTAACTTTCATTGCTGCAGTGGAATCTGCTATTTATTCATCACAGACCACCTCCATCCTAGTCTCCCCATCTGGAAGATTACCTGAAGCTCGTGTTAGGCACAGTGAAGCATCAGATCTCTGTCACATCATATCTCAAAGCAATATTCTGCTGCTCAAAGGCCATGCTTCACTCTGAAGTACTTTGTTTTTATTTTCCAGGAACTGGAAGTCTGGACAACGGACTTTGTGCTGCCTGCAACAGTGTGGCTGGCAGGATTCTTCAATCCCCAGTCCTTCCTCACTGCTATCATGCAGTCCATGGCAAGAAAAAACGAATGGCCACTGGACAAGATGTGTCTTTCAGTGGAAGTGACCAAGAAAAACCGTGAGGATATAACAGCTCCACCCAGAGAAGGCTCCTATGTGCATGGATTATTCATGGAAGGTAAAAGATTGCATCTTTTATGAGATGTTTCAGACATGGAGAAAGCCCGGTTCAGCCTTAAAAATTCTTGCAAACAGAGCAGGTGTTAGTACTCACTGGCTTATTTGAATTTGTACAGCTTTTGCAAAAGCTCCAAGCAGCGGAGCCTTTATTCCACGCTGATGTCAGAGACACGCCAGCTGAGGGCAGCACCCATCCAGTTTACAAGCAGAGTTTCACAAACCAGAAGCTGTTTTTTGGAAATTCAGACTGCATATCATGAACCTGAGGACCGAGTTGTCTGAAACTACACGGTTCTAGTGAATAAATATATTATGCTCTTATTTGATGTGTGAGTAAGACAAATCAGGAAACTCAGAACCTAAAATAATTACTGCTAAAAAACAAGGGGGAATGAGATGGCAGTATCAGCAGAGCACCAAAGGGGTCCACTTAAACAAGAGCACAGACCACGCAGGACAGCTATCGTAGTTCCCACCACAGCCAAGTCCTACCTTCAGCTCTGCAACTTTCATGCAAACCCATGCTGAAGGGATGAGTGGGGACAGAATTTATTTAGATATCCCACACACAGTAAGGCAAAATGCATTCATGAGTCACAGTGAGATGACAGTAGTCGTTAGGGCTAACATGTTAAGCCATGGCTACCCAACCTTCACACTCCATCCTCGACTGTGCTGCTAGAGCAACTCCTTCCCACCCATTAGTAGTTATGAAAACAGCCCCCCTTCTAAGCGAAAAAGCCCCTGGGCAGCTGGCACCCTGACAATTTCATGATATTGCAGGCGCTCGATGGGACATCCCTTCTGGTGTGATAGCAGACGCTCGACTGAAGGAGTTGACGCCCATGATGCCAGTCATCTTCATCAGAGCCATCCCTGTGGACCGCATGGACACCAAGAACGTCTATGAATGTCCTGTCTATAAGACACGGATGCGAGGTCCCACCTATGTCTGGACCTTTAACCTAAAGACAAAAGAAAAAGCTGCTAAGTGGATCCTCGCCGCTGTTGCTCTGCTCTTACAGATCTAAACTTTAATGACTATGGAAAACAGCAAATGCTTTTACTTGCAAAAACACTCAAAGTTGTGTAACTTAGACTAAGTTTGATTGTACCAGAACTATTTTAGCAAAGTATCAATAAAAACAGTGCTGGAACTGCTGTCATGTGGAGACTGCTCTCACAATACATGGAGTTTCTCATGACGGATACTGGTTTTCAGCTGGTGGTTTCTGATAAAGTGCTGGTTGAGTGCCAGACCACCAAAGGAAATCAAACAGAACAATTGCATGCAACTATCTGGATTCCTTTCCTTCTCATAGCTCTCTGCCTTTCCACAGCTATTTGTTTGATCGCTCAGTGCTAACTGTGAACAGAAATTCATCAAGCCATGTGCACAACACCTTCCTGCAGGGAAGCATGTATCTGTTTAGACCAGACAGAAGAAGAAAGGTGCAGATTTGGCCCAGTTCACCAACATGTCAGCCAGTACAACCCCAAGAAAGTCCAGCTGCAAACAGATCAGTCTCTACAGTTGCATAAAACTTCCCTCACAGCTAGTGGCAAGAAAAGCCACAAGGGGAGGCGAGTAGAGCGGCTTGTTTCTTTGTAAAGCATTTAGAATAAATTACCATTAAGCTTTACACTTACCTTCAGCCTTTTCAGGTGCCAGAAATCCCTTTTGTTGGCAATACAAGATCAGAACACACTGCACATACTCCACTAGTGAAACTCACAGGGCAGGCCGAGCCTGCGCTCTAACACATCTTTATCTGGCTTCCCAACCAACTTCTTTGCAGGACGTGTTACGGTTTGAGGCTCCCGCTTTCAGCAAGTAACATCCAAAAATCACACTAGCCCCAAAAGTCCCCTCATGCCCTCTCCGCAATTCATGAAAGACACTTGTAACACATCTTAACATGAAGGAGCCAGATACACAACCCGAGAAATGGAGGCCGCATTTATGTAAATAAAATGGATGTGTGAACACTCAGCATCCAGGGCACACACTCAGGTGCCAACTGCATGGACTATGTGCACAGCACACAAAAAAAATCTAAGAGCGATTCCATGAAGCTCAGAGGGGCTCCAGTTACTGGGCAGTCAAACGGGCAGGCAAGTCCAGGGCACTGTACCAAGCAGAAAAGCAAAAACAACTGCCCCTGTTAACCAACATCTACAAGGTGAAGACAAAACATTTTAAATATTCCAACAATGTTTTCTATTAGCTGGTCAAGATAAAATAAACACAGCCCCTCTCCACAAAACTCTGAAAGGGACATTTCAGGAATGGAAGTTTTATTTCTATGCATGGGAAAAACCCTTGTACGGGTTCTCTTTCATTGACCCTTCCAGAAATTCTAGTAGATGAAACCCAGTACAGGCCTTAAGCAATGATTCTAGTCAGTGGCAAGTACCCCAGAAGAAAAGAGAGATGCCTGTTTTTTCCCCACATCTGTTTCCATCATCTATTTCTTCCACGTGATAGAGAGTACTGCACTTATTAATTGCAGTCAGTGCAATATAAATTCCCCATAAGAATGGCAAAAAACTCACCCAAAGCAGCAACTTTTCTTCTTTCAAAAGAAATTCTTGATCAGAGGCGTTACCAGCTTCACCCACAGTTTCACATAACGATTTGGCTGCTCAAATGTTGATGATGAGACTACACCTGAGCAGAGGTAAAGCTGCTCCTGTTCCTACACAGGGAAAGAAACATCATCCCAGTAAATCCTAAGTGTTAAATTATATAATGGCCTTTAAGAAAAGCAAATTATCACAGATAAAACTGGCCGTGGATCCTGCCAAAAGGATGCATCATTTCTGCCACAAGCCTGAACATAAGAAAGAGTCTCATTCCATGTGGCACAACTCACAGAGCAACCGAACCACCAAGGAGCTAGCACAGGATCTGTCCTTCACACCTGCCTGCCACAGCACTCCGCTTTTTGATGACTATTGGTGCGCTCAGTAACAGAACCTCAAGAATTAGCAATTTTAACTCTACAAAGAGCAAAGGTAGAAGGTTTTGCCTTTTTGCACCCCACAGTTGCAAGAGAGCTGAGCTTCAGTTTCAGAAAAATCCTAAATCCCTCACTGTAATTGCCAGAAAAGGAAACCTTACCATAATCTCAAGAGACTGGCTTACGCAGCTCTTTCTAGACACAGCTCAAGCGCTGTGTTTTCAAATGAATATGCAGTCATGATTTCAACTAAATTACCAGAAACACTTAGGCTTCTCCAGTGTGTACACAATACTGCTGAAGGAGGAAATGAACCATCATGATGATAATACATGCTCGCATTGCACATGAAAGCAGCTGTTTGATCAAAGGTAGAAGCAGTTTTCTTATCAAAGCCAGTCAGGTTTCTAGATTTGCAGGCAAACAAGGAGCAGACCATCTACGGTAAGTCTGTTCATAATCTTTTTTTCATTAGCTAAGCTGTCACAAACAACAGAAAATACTCTGCACTGTTTAAATTCAGCGTGGAACAGGGAAACAGGAATCAAGCGCTGGAAAGTTAACACCAAAAAGATGAACCAACAGCAGAAGGAAGACATTTGTGTGCCTAAGCAGTCTAATTTTAGAAACCCCAAATACTCCAAGAGCTATAGTCAGCCCTGCTATGAAGATTCTGCACCATGGTCATCTGATACAGTGAGGTCATCTGATCACTGGAAGTGAGACCAGTTATCTGAATTGAAGTTCAGTTCATTCAGTGGAGCACCCAAAGATACCCAGACCACCCAAATTTCTTCTCAAATCTCATCGCACATTTTTAAAATGGAACTGAACGTTACATAGGCAAAGTGATTTCATGGCAGCATACCAGTAACGTATTAAGTCTTCTAAACAAAGATCACAGAACAGTAAACAAATAGCCAATCTCAAAATCAGCTTCCAGCAAATGGGAATGGTTTAAAGCCCTTTAAATTAGATCACTGCAGTGCTGCCTGAGAAAATTCCTTTGTCATATTTTCATTGATTCTCCCCTTCCATTAGAAACAAGTAGAGGCAAGATATGAATTGAAATATTCAAGCAACTCTTCCAGTAATAGAATTGTTTTTGATTAGATATACTCTGACTCATCCTGTGGAAGAGCCCTGATGCAATAGGGCAATTCCCATTGATCTTGAAGACAACTGTGCCTTCTTATGCCAGGACTTGGCTTAAGAGAATACATTTTTGAGATCCCTAAGTCACACACAGAGGCACCAAACCAATTTGCTTTGTATCAGAGCACTGCATGAGAAATTACTTGGGACACTGTCAGTTCCAGCAGAAAATTCAGAGTCAAGACAGCTGGAGAACCAGACAGGATTTAGAGAAGCAGCAAAAGAGCTGAGCAGTCCAAGCTGCTAATTAAAAAAAAAACAAACCAAAAAAAACCCCACCAAAACTGGGTCACTGAACATTAAACCATTGAAAAATGTTTGTGTCAAGACTACATAATGTCATATTATTCTTCAAGAATATATTATGTCATATAACTTCACGGGCAATCCAACCAGCCCAGAAATCCTCCTCTTGTAGAAACTACACTAAGATCCCCTGCCTTTGTTCACCTCCACAGCCTGCGGGCAGCCACCCAAAAGCTAACTGATTGGCGTTCATATTCCTACAAAGGATTTCCCAAATGCCTGAGAAGCAAAATCCTCTAGAATTCCAAGATCAGCAATTCAAAGGGCCTGACCTCACTATCCTAGAGCACAGTGCGACCTTGGCAATGCCCAAATATTGGGGATAAGGCCCAAGAACGTGCTGTGTGATCAGCGAGCAGAGGAGAGACAGCAGATCCTCTCCGAGTGCTGTGTCTCTCGGCATCCATTGCCTGAGCACTCCTGATACTCGAGTTCACTGGGGACACATGTTCTTTCCCGTTATGGCCTCCATTTCCCAGAAACAGGCACTTGCAGCAGGCATCTCATCAATAGTCACTTAACTGACAGCTCCTTGAGACTTCCTATGCTCAAGAAGGTTTTGAATTATTGTAGCTGTAGGTTTTTATTGCAACCGCGTCATCAGCATTCCCTATGTGACCAAGAAGCACAACATCCATGTTACCTCCCCATAATCAGCCACTTACCTGATGGAGTTGCTGCTGCAAGGCTTTATTTTCTGTCACTATTGCAACCTGAGCTTCCAAGTCACGATGAACTGATCGATATCCGAAATTAGGAGAGCCAATCAGAGTCAGGCAGGGAAGATCGCTTCCTGCCAGGTACAGCCAGAGGCCTGCAGGAAAAACAGAGAAGAAAGGAAGCGTGGCAGACAAAGGAAATGACCGGAGTAGCCTCAAACAATCGCTTCACTTAAAAGAAATTAATTAAACATGTTAGATTATGGTAACTATAAAAGATCACGACACAAAGCAAGCTTCCTTGCAGATGGTCTAGCATGTCTTGTAAAGCTTCGTATGAATCTTGGGGTACCCTTGCACAGCTTGCATTGTCCAAACTTGTGCTCTTAACAGGGGGGCTGCAGCATGCTCAGTGCCGCCCCAGGGACACATTCTTAAGAATGTAAATAAACTGCACGGAGGGGCCCAAAATAATCCAGAATGAGTCACTCATTAAGTTAGAGGTCGTTTTGCACCACGGCATATCTCAGAAACACCGAAATAAGACAAACAGTTTTTCAGTAAAGGAAAACCTACACCAAGCAACAGGGCGCCAGGCAGACAAGCCAGGCCTGGACCAGTCAGTTCCAGAACTGGAAGCAGCGCAGTTGCACAGTGACTAACCCCTTTCCCGAGACTACACAAGACAGTGACATGAAGAGGCATCTCCCTGCTCTGACAGGTGAATTCACATGAAATAGACTCGTAAGAGCAGTGCAAATTATTACACCCACTCACTTCCTGAGGAGCCACCCGAAGATGAAATCAAACTTTTGCCAGGATGCAAGACTCCCAAGTCCACTCACCACTCCAGTTCACACACAGCTTTGCCAGTGCAACAAGAGCACGCGCGATACAAACCAGATGGAAACACCGTACTACTCTCAAGCACACCGCTGTAGCACAGCAGGAAAGAACAGCTAGGGATGCCACGGCAGAGCCTGGACTATTGCCAAGGAGAGTCTATACAGCCATTCTCTGTGTATAAACGGACCCAAGAAGTGTTTGCTCTCCACTTAGCAAGGCACAAGCACTTAGA